CTGTAATTTCTTAAGTTAATTTGTAAATTTTTGTAGTAAACTGTAAATTGTAAATATTGTAAAACTTTTCTTCTGTCATTTAATGGTCGGGCATTGTACAGCTACAAGCATTTCACCCCCATGTCATACTGTGTATGGTTGTGTGTGTGTGACAAATAAAATTTGAATTTGAAAATTTGAATTTGAATTTTTCCCTCTGTGTGTGCTGTCAGTCTGAGTCCCTCGGTCGATCGATGCGTCTCTGACAAGATTCCTGTTTGGAATCATTTTGCTGTTTGGGTGTGACACAAACTTCCAGCACCCGTTTCCTTTCTGACCTGAGCATGGAGGAAACACGAGCTCCTCCAGATAAAAGGTCATCAATCAGAAACTTGATCACCTGCTGAAGTCTGATGTGTTGCTGACATATGAGTTTAACTGGAGTGAGGCGTTCGCAGGTGAGCAGTGATTGATTGACCAGTGCTTCTTTAGGAACATACATCCCAGCCCCTGCAGGAGACTCTGACAGCACTGAGCAGCTCCTACAGTGGCGAGCTGCAGGGCTTTCCTCCCCACTGCTGTCAGACTCCACAACAAAGACTTCGCAGCTGACCAAACACACACATCCACACACGTGCAGTAATGCGACAACGTTGTATTTTACTCAGTTGTACACAGTATTTTTATTCTATTCTATTGTGTACAGTATCTTATTCTTATCATCTTATCCTATTCTAGTGTTTTTCTTTGTTTTGCTCTGTAACTTTGCACTGTCCTCTTTCTGCTGTAACAAAACTAATTTCCCACGTGTGCGACTAATAAAGCTTATCTTATACCTGTGGGTCCTCCAGTCACATGTTCAAGGTGAGCACAGGTGAATGAGTGAGTGAAGATCGGATCAAAGCACATCAGAGCGGACCTGATGAGCCTGTGTTGCTTTAAAGCTCAGAAATTTGCTGCACATGTCCAATAAAAATGTTTTCATGGCGCAGGTGGAGGCGGCCAGGTTACAGCCCCTCAGATGAGACCAGCAGGAAAATAACCAAGTACATTTACTGAAGTACTTCCCTCAAATTTAACATACCTGTAATTTCTGCGTGATGCTGCTTCCTGTTTCTACTGTATTTCTGATGCAGATATTGTGGTTTATACTCTGAACTACTTGGAGTACAGATAATCACCAAGTATAAGTTATGAACAGCTGCTGGATGTAAGAAATGTACACATCAATAATTATGATGCATTAGTAACATGTATATGTTTGTAATGTGGAGCATGTTTGTTTCACGTCTGTGCTGTTATAAGTTTTACTTCAGTAAAAGTCTAAAAACTTTCTTCCCACACAGACTGTGTTTAATCTGCAGCCCCACGTGTCTCATGATCAGGCTGCACATCTTATTTCTGATTGGTGTAACAGGTATGTGTCACATCTGATGGTTTTCAGGTGTGTCCTGGATCCTGGTTCTTTCTGCTTGGAGTAAGGTAAGAGGATGGGAACATGTACGGAAGTGCGTGTGCATGCTGGAAAAACATGAAGTCAATTATAGTCAAAGCCAGTAAGTTACTGTGTTTTTAAAGAGTCACAACTACGTTTTACTTTCTGTTTGTAGTCATTTTAAACATATTTGAATGATTTTTATTGCCAAATAAAACATTTTAAAGTGTGAATATTCCACTTTTTTCTCTCCAAATGTTAGCTTACCATTTTAATGTTTTGTGGTCATTCGATTTGCCCGTTTCTAAGCTCAAAAAGGGGCTTTAATGCATTTGAGTTTTTCCCTTTCAAGTCAATTTTCTGGTTAATTATTTTTAATGATTTATTTATTCTTTGCATTGTTTGCCTGAATAAAAAAAATTCCGTTTTGTATTTATTTTTATTTTTTTACTGCTTTTTATTTCATTGAATTCTTTGATGTTGTTTTGATGATCAAACCTGCGATCGGCTGATTGGCCGATGGTCTGTCAGCTGTTTGTTCTGTGCTGGATAAATAAAGTTTGGTTGAAGTGAAGGACCACTGCTTTTGTTTGTTTGTTTTTGTTTCCTGTCTGTAAACAACATAAATTATAAATAAGAAGTTGAAATTCCTCTGGGAGCTCTGTCAGTCTGATGCTAACTGAAAACATTTGGGGGAACATCTGTCCTCATCGGCGAGCTGATTGGCTGCTGAAGCAGATGTGCAGGTTCACAGAAGCTCATTCAGATGAAAATATGAATTCACATCTGTGGGAGAGATAAACAGCAGTATGAACGCGTGAATAAAATTCCTTTGATCGGTAATTTAAATCCATAAACCAAGTTTTCTTTGTATGATGAAATTTACTTTCTAAGGTTCTGTGTTTAAGAAGAGCTTGTTTTCTAAATGTTAATACTTGAAAAATATGGAGATGAAAAAATAAAAGATTCAAAATGTAAAATAAAAAAAAAAGAACACCCAAACTTGGTAAACGAAAAAATGAAAAAACAGTGAATTCATCAAAATGAATAAATGAAATAAGTTTATATATAAAAAAGAAGGAATATTACAAGTAAAACTGCCTGCAGCACACAGCTGAAAACATCTGGAGCTGCTTAATTCAAACATGTTGCTGCCTCCATCCATCGACCCATCATCCACCCATCACTCATCATCCTTTATCCTTCGCTGATGATGGTGGCAGCAGGTTGAGCAGGGACTCCAGATGTTCTCCTCCTCAGCGACACCTCCGGGACTTCCTGTGGAATCCAGACCAGATGAAGGGGTTCGAGGTCTCCCCTGAGGTCTTCCCCCGGTTAGGCACGTTGCTGCAACAAATTCATGTTGAAGAATCAGAAGTATGATTTCAGGTGCTGAGATGGGTTCTGATTCTGTGAGTGGGTGCAGCTGGAACTTTGAGCTTCGGGCTCCTGTCTGTGTGATTATAACATGTTGCTGCCGCTGCTCCGGGGACAGGCGGGGACTCGGGTGGTTTTGGCAATTCTCTGGCTCTCTCCGGTCCTCGGAGCTCGGTATCATCAGGTTGAAGGTGTTTTGTTGCTGGGGAAGAATCCAGTTCTTCCTCACCTCCCTGCAGCCTCACCCCCACCGTTATACTCAAACTCAGCCAATCAAAAAAAAAAATCACTCCATATATCACTAGGCAGACGTCCACGCCGGCAGCCAATCGGATTGGGCGGCTTGGGAAAGGGCGCAGGGAGCTGAGACAGACCGAGTGACAGCGTCTGAGTCCCGGGGAGGAACATCAGGGAATCTCCGTGGAAAAGCCCCGCAACGCGGTCAAGATGCCTAACAAAACCAAGAAGGAAAAGGTAATATCCGCGTCACTGGCGTGCCCGGGGCATTTTTCCACTGAGATCCGGTGTGGCGGGTGTTTTTTTTTTTCCGCTGCTGGAGACTTCAGACGTTTTATTTCACCGAGCTAATGGCTAGCTCACCTGCTAGCTGTTAGCTGGGGCCCAGCTAGGAGAGGACCGCTAAGCTAACGGCTAGCCGCGAGTCTGTGCTCGGCGCCCGCCGCGGACACGCTTCGTTTAACCGCACACCTGCTGAGTGTTTGAGCGGACACATAGCAGGGATATTAGCGTGGAGCTGGCCGCCGTGATTAGCCGTGTTCTGTTGCCGGAGCTCCGGGAAGAGTCGCTGGCTGTGTCTGAATTATTGATGCAGGGCTCGGCTGAAGAAGAGCGTCTGAGGCGCTAACAGCGGTTAGCCGTTAACTGAGACCACACGATGACCGGTAGATGTCCCGCTGGATGCTGCGATTCCTTGGCTCACAGCGCAGTCTGAGTCCACCTCACACACCCATATAAATACCGGATTAAAGCGATTTGTTTCATGATGCAGCGCTCAGGGCTGATCAGTCATTGATCGTAATGTTTATCAGCCAGCACTTATGTTCGGTTCAGCGGATTGTTATCGATTATTTGTTTAGTCTGTAAACTTGAATGGAGCAGCAGGAAAGCCAAAAGAGAAAAACAGCTGATAAGTAACGGCCACAGTTATTGATTATTGATGATCTTCTCTCTGTGACTCGCTGATTAATCGACTGCTTCCGATGTCCGAAATTTTATTACTTATTTAAACTGAAAATATTTTTTAAAAAGGAGGTTTGAAGTCACATCTATGTAATGTAAACGACTCGCTCTATAAATCATACAAAAAACTTAACACATTTTAAACATGAGCGACAAAAGTATTAAAGAATAAAAACACAAACACAGCAACGAGTATTTAAAACGCGTTTCAACGATCAAATCTTTTTTGCTCCATTTAGATATCTTTAAAAAAATATTCTTTGCAAAATACAGCAAAAAAAAAAAACAAGACTAAAATTAAACCCAAAAATATTAAAGTTTTAAAATGAGATCAAAAATAAAATGTGACCCCAAAATGAGTAAATTCAGTTAAATAAAAAAAAACAGAAAAATTAAAGCTGAAACATATAAAATTAACATTTAAATTAAAAAGAAAGAAAGATGAAAACAGAAAAGTGTACATATATACGTATAAAAATATGAATATATTTAGAAGGAAAAAAACATCATAAAACAATTGGAAACATAGAAAATCAGAATTTGACATCCAAAACATAAATATACAGCTTAAAAATCAGAAACATGTAAATATATAAAAACTCTAAGATGCACAAAACCTAATGAAAAATAAAGACTTTCTAAAAATAAAATAAATATTAGAAGACTTAAAAAATGGAAAATCATTTAAAAAGATGATGATAAAAAAATCAAACTTAGGCAGAGATCAGCTACTTTTAAGCTGAAAGGGTTTGGCTCGGTGCTGATTTCCTGTCTTCGGGTGACATGCCTGCAGACGTCCTCACGCTGTGGCGACGCGCACATGGCTGTTGCGACGCGCACATGGCTGTTGCGACAAACACGGCTGAGATCGCGTGTTAAATATGTGCAATGAGAACGAAGGATCGCTCTGCAGGTGAGAGGGTTCACCTGTGGGAGCACACCTGAGAGAGCAGAGGGAGCTTTGAGCGGCTCACGCAGCCTTTATTGTGAAAGTCTATCTGGAATGATTTTGTGAAGTTGGAAAACTAAAGTAAAAATATGGAGGAGCTGTTGTGATTTCACTGTCAGTGCGCTAAAATTCCCACCTCCCTGATGATAAACCTTGCCTGTGATACGTGCGCTTCGTACAGTAATACGTAAAAAGACTGAAAGTCATAAAAACAGATCAAACACGGCACAGTGAGCCGAGTAACTCGCCCTGGAACCTGAAGTAGAATCAAAAAGTCAAAATAAAAACTCTGAAAGCGTGAAGCCTGTGCTGCTGCTCGGGTTCACTCGGAGGAGAAGTGCTGGTTGGCGTTCATGGAGTCTTAGCGTACACATTGGAAACTCTGATTGGCCAGCATTTCTTTGGGATGGGTCACGTGACTGCTGCCTGGAAGAAAGCATTTATTATTTTTAACATCCCGGCTGAGCGTGACACACACAGTCAGAGCGTCCAATAAAGAGGACGTGGCTGTGATTGGTTGGGACTCGAGCAGAAGTCCCTCCCACATGTGCCTTCACGCAGTCACACATTCACATAAGTTCAGGTTTGTGCGGCGCCGATCCATACTGAGTATTGATCTGATACCAGCTTTCAATCAGTAATCTGTATCCCCAGACTGGGAGTCGTTCTTTATGTGAGGAGATGTCAGAGCACCTGGGTGTCAGTGTCAGCCCGGCGGTGGTAACCCTGGTTACCCTAACCTGACCAGCTGACGGGTTACATCATCACGCCCCACACAGACAGACTGATGCAGAATAGAAACAAAAATGTCGGGCTGTGACGCTTCCTCCTCTTCCTCGGTGCTCAGTAAACGTTTCATGTTTCAGCTCAGCTGATTTTCCTCGGCTCTGGTGTGAGTTTGTTCTCACAAAAATCAAAACAAGATCAGCTGATTTATGTTTTTCTCTGTGTGGGAACAGGAAACGACCAAATCTGCCAAAAGCAGCACGAAGAACAGCAACAGCGGCGGTGGCGGGAAGGATGTGACCCCGGAGAACTCGGATGAGGTGAGTGCCGATTTGGTCACATGGCAGCGAGGAGCTGATATGAAAGGTTCCACTTTAAAAAGTCGAGCTGAAGCTCTGCCTGTAGTGATTATATGCAGAGTAATAAAGGTGAAAGTAAATATACTCGAGTACTCCCCCTGCAGGCTGCAGGTATCCCTGCTAGAAACAGACAGAGGGTTAAAATACAGCAGCTTCATCAGGTTGTGTGGAGTCAAAGCCTGCCTTCAGTTTTCAGGCCCCTCTTCTGTGGAAGCAGCTGCCAGTTTGGATTCAGGAGACAGACACTGCAGCTGTGTCCAAATTCAGGGGCCGCATCCTCCTGAGGACCCGGCTACGTGGGCCGCAGGGCCGTGCAGAGAGGTTTAAAGGGGCGGGTGCTCAAGCCCCTCTAGCCCCCCCCTCTGCACGTGCCTGGTGGGCCGGGTCCTCCGAAGGCCGAGAAGGCCGGAAGTGCGAGGCTGTGAAATGTGACTTCAGATTAACGTCACCGCTGTCTCAGTGGAGTTTAATAAACTCGTCCGTCTGCTCCTTGCTGGCGTAAACTCTCGGCCGTCTCACACTTCTGATGATCAGTTTTCTGTTTGACGTTTATTCAGCTGTGTGAAAACTAGAACTTTAATCTCAGCCAAACCAATTTACTCAGGAACAAATAAAACACTAAAAAAAGCCAAACAACAACATTTTTAAGTTATCCGAGTGACTCATATATCATGGTTAACCTGAGTAGTGAAGACTGCGGGGGGTTTGAAAATGATGTGCACTGAATCATTAGTCATTATTCATCTCTGTCTCTTCCACATCATGTCTTTATCTTGTCTTCCTCCCCTCACCCTAACCGGTTTCTCAGATGGCCCCACCCCTCCCTGAGCCTGGAGGTTCCTTCCTGTTAAAAGTTTTTTCTTTCCACTGGCGCCAAAGCGCTCGCTTACAGAGGGTCACATGATTGTTGGGTTTTCTGTTATTAACACAACAGCATCAACTTCCGGCAATGTCCATGCAGTAAAAAACCAACTTTCCGTCTCCGTGTACATCCCTAACTGTGATTGGTGGAAACACTGTCTCAATAGGCCATTGGTTATGCAAAACCCAGGCTGTGGCTTTGGGCGTGGCTACTACAACATCTTCCTGCTATCAGGGTCTTCACTGTACCATCACAAAGAGGTTTTGTTTCCTCGTGAAGGAAACAGTTTTTAATGAGTCCTTGTTGACACAAAACGTCATCAGAGGCTGAGCAGTTTTGCGTTCTTTTTCTAACTTGAATGCTCTTTTCGTTGTTGTTTTTTGCTGTCTACTTGGTATATTTTTATTCTTTTCCTTTTCCTAATTTTTGTTTCCAACACTTCGACATGACCCCAAGGCCCGCTTCCACGGACTACTTCCCCGAGGAAATACTCCGTGGACACGGAAATCGAAAAACTCACAATAACAAGGTAACCAGGAGGGGATAAAAGAAGAGTGGGGTCAGAGCCAGACTAAAGAGGGAGACGCACAAACAACGAGCGCTCCCGTCGCTAATGTGCTGTCTCTCTGCTCCAAGCTGGACGAGCTGCAAGCCTGCGTCAACCACCCGCATGGGTACAGAACTGCCTCCGTTCTGGCATTTACGGAATCGTGGTTAAACAACAGTGACGACAACAGCGCGCTGCACATTGATGGCTTTTCACCACCTCTTCGTCTGGACAGAGACCGCGAAGCAACATGGTGGTGGCGTGTGTCTGTATGTAAACAACAGCTGGTGCTCTTCAGTCACTGAGGGAGAAGCTGTGCACGACAGACATCGAGCTCTGGCTGTTTCCCTGTGCCCCTACCACCTCCCCAGAGAATTCCCACAGCTTTTCATCATCCTGGTTTACATCCACCCCAGAGCTGATGCAGCCAAAGCCACAGAGTACTTCACCAACACTCTGTACAAACTGGAGCAGTTATCAACGGACTTTCCCAAGTTCATCCTGGGTGATTTCAACCACTGCTCCCCTGACAAGTCGCTTAAAGGATACCAACAGTATGTTTCATGCAGCACACACGTCAGGGGAAGACTCTGGATAAATGCTACGGCTCTGTACCAGATGCATTTAAAGCTAAACTCCTCCGCCCTCTCGGCTCAGCAGACCACCACACCATCCTGCTGGCCCCTGCTCACACCCCAGTCATCAAGAGGATTAGAAAGGTCACCAAAACATCAAGCAGTGGACAGAGGAAAGTATCCTCACCCTACAAGGATGTTTCGAAGCCACTGACTGGGGCAGCCTTCTGTCTCCCTCTGATGACATCGACAATCAAGTCAACACGGTGACATCATACATCTCCTTCTGTGTTGACAACATTATCCTCTCAAAAACAGTCTTCATCTACCCCAACAACAAACCCTGCATCACCAACGAGCTCAAGGAAATCCTTTCATAAAAAAAAAAGAGGATTTTCTTCACCGGCTCTGCTCTGGATTAAAAATGGTAAATGGTCTGTATTTATATAGCGCTTTTAATAGTCCCTAAGGACCCCAAAGCGCTTTACATATCCAGTCATCCACCCATTCACGCACACATTCACACACTGGTGATGGCAGCTACATTGTAGCCAC